TCACTGTCACTGGGGCAGCTACAGAGCTCCAAAGACAAGAGCGAAACTGTGAGTAAACCCAGATTAACTCCCCAGGCTCCAAAGGCAGCGCTGATACTACTGACTTAAAGCCTCCTTCTTGCCTTGTTTTGAGTTGTTTGTTTAACAACAACCCAAGTGACTTGGTGGGATAATGGATATTTCTGAGCCTGCTCATGAAAGCTGTTTTTCACACCAAACAGCTAAAGCTAAAGATTTTCTCAGGCACCATCTAAGCACTGGTGCCTGTTACGGCAAAATTAGGATCAGGGCTATGTAAATATTCTTCCTTAGAAGAGAAGGGAAGAGCAAGGAAGAGCCTGAAAAGAAGGAGCAACCTGCTCTGGTGGCAGGGGGCTGGAACCGGGTGAGCTTTGAGGTCCCTTCCAACACAAACCAGTCCGGGATTGTGTGAAATGAACAAGTGGCAGGTAATAGATAATAAGATGAAGGTGTTTTACTGCTGTTTGCCTCAGAGAATGATTTAAACCCAAGCCTGTTAGAGGAGCCCCAGCAGAGGTGTGTTTGCTGATGGGGAGGGCTGGCACAGGCGCATCATCCCTGCACAGAGCATCACTGCTCACTTCCCGCTTCCCCCTTTCCTTCTGGCACCGGGTTATTTTGAGCTCTATGAAGCAACTGTAGCCCAGTGTGCACACAGGAGGTGCTGACAGCTTGGTAGGTCGGGCCGGTGGTGCTGACAGCTTGTGGCGTTCCACCTTCCCCAGGCAGTCACCTGGCAGGGTGGAACGACACGGAGAGTGCTTGCGCAAAAGCCGTGGGGGGATCCCGGTGGGGATCACAATCCTGCCAGTGTTCATTCCAACACATGCGCTGTGTCCGCAGGGATGGGGATCAGGGAACAGCTCACCGCTGGGGATGAGTTGTCATACACGTTGCTGAGTTCTTCGGTTCACTTGCTGTTAGGGCTGCCAGCATCCAGACCCTGTCCCCAAGGGGGACACATGCTCAAAGGGAGCAAAAGGATGGATGTGGGGGTGAATGAGCTCCTGCAGACTTCCTGCATTTTAACTGGGGTCCCTGCACAGTGTGGAGCATCACTGAAGGAAGGAGATGTACTCTAAGCTTGGTCACCACCATTCAAGAAGGGCTTTGTTCTAGAGGTCGTCTGACAGCCCTGTGTCTTATCCCAAGTGGCCAAGGGTTTCTTATTTGTATGTATAGATGATTTTTCAGGTGGTTGCTTTAGCATCATCCCATTTTATTCCCTTCCCTGAGGAATCATCCATGAAGCTTTGGGGAGAGCTAGGGAAGGAAAAACAGCACCTCACGTGGTCCTAAATGGGTTATTGTGGGTGTGAGTAAAGGTGTTTTGAGTGGAAGGTACCTGACAGATGCTCGCTGGGTGAGGTCAGGATGGCCAGAAGCTATCTGGCCACTGCTCCGTGGGTCAGATCCATGATGGTGTCTGCATTCCCACAGTTTCCTTGAGACCAGCAGCATTTGAGATGCCCAATACCCTGGTATCTGTTGGTCTGGCACTGAGGGACAAGGTTATGGAGAGGCTTTGAGGGGTCCAGGGCTGCCTTGTCCATGGGAGAACAAGGACCACATTGTGCCACCCAAACTGCTTTTTGGCTCATCTCAATGGAGGACTCGACTGCCCAGTTTTGCAGCTCAGCACTGCAGAACACGCTGGGTTCACCCAATAAATCAGAATGTGAGTAAAATACTCCTGATGGGTTGAGAACAGGCACTGCATTGATGGCAGTGGCTCATCCACAGCCAGCACAGGCAATGGTAGTGCAGGTTATCACATCTTGCAGGTACCATTCCCCAGTGCGTTCATCCATGCCCCACTGCAGTTCCCCACACCGGGAAGGTGAGCCATGGGATCTTGCCACAGCCAGTGCCTGTGGAAACTTGCTTTCCGAGCTGATCACCCTCAGACCTGCGTCACAGGGAGCGGCTCCGCACGTGGCCTTCCTCTGGGAGCTGCAGCACTGGGAGCAATGGGACCAGCAGAAGGGTTTTCCCATCCTCTTTCAAGGGAAGGTAAAAGCACTACCTTGGACTAGATGATCCCCAAAGGTCCCTTCCAACCCTAATGATTCTGTGACTCAGGGCTGCATGTGGATGATACTGGGTTGCAGCATGTGTGGATTTGAGCAGGGAAAATGCTGGCTTAGTTATCTTGCCAAAGTCCAATAAAATGCAAAATATCCCTGGAAGTCAAGTACCTTCATGGCTGTTCTCCAAGACGTGTCCAAGCTTGGAAACACTTTCTGCTTGGATGGGAAGAGCGTGCCGTGAGCCTGGGTTAGTCTCTCGGTTGCATCCTCCTTCATTCGTCATTATGGACATCACCTGTCTCCTTCTCTGAAGTGCTGTGGAGCATCCTGGCATGCCCGTGCCTGGGTACCAAGCCCAGGGAGGCACCGGGGCTGGGAGATGAGCTCCATTAGCAGGAGGAAAATGAAGGTTCTCAGAAGTGCCAGAGTTCTGTTTGTAGAAGGGATTTGCACTTCTGAGAGGGCTGTTGACTTTCAGGAGGCTTGGGCTTTCAAGGGCCTCAGTCACTGTTGGAAATGGGCTTGCAGATGTTTTCTGAGCACTTAGAAAATGCTTCTGCTATGTCCTCAGGCCTTCTCCGGCTGCAGTGGTAATTACAGGTTGTCCATTAACCACAATGTGCAGATCTCTGCTGGAAGCTGTTAGGCGTTCAGCACCTGGAAGACAGGCGGCGTGGAGAGGCAGGGCTTGTGTTTAACAGGATGACGTAGGGGCAGTTGCTTTTGTAAAGGACAAATGCCTGTTCTTTTCACGTGGGCTTGTGGGTTATGGGCTTTTGGAAGGTTTCAGGGACTAAAGGCCATGGGAAACGTATCCCCACCAGCTTGGGCAATGGACAACTCCTCCTTGGGCACCAAGAACTTCTCCTTTCAGTTACAGCAGCTTCTGTATCATCTCCTGCGAGGACTCATTTCACCATAGTGTGTCATTTAGTGTCTGAAGCCTCTTGGTGACATGTGGTCAGTGGGTGTGAATTCATCACAAGTACCTCTGATTTCTTAAGAGTGTGAAGTAGGAGGAGCTTTGACCTGCATCCCTCAGGGAGGATGTAAATGGGTGATTCTGCCTCATTCACAGCCTGGGGTGAGTTATTTCGATGGAGTTAGTCCCAGCTTACCTGGATTTGAAAGCAAAAAAAGCCCTTAAGCAGATGTGCATAAATTGCCCAGGAACATTGCTGGGAATGTTTGGAGTAAGGCTGTGTCTTCAGGCTGCTGCCCATTTGGTCCTGAGTTGTGCTGGAGCAGATGCAGGCAGCAGCAATGTCACTCCATGGAGCGATGCTCTGTTGGGTACCCACGTTCTGGCTACTGCAGCTTCAGGCTGGCCCAGGCTCTTGGAGATAAGGTGTGATGGAAACAGCAGTAAGGTTTGCCTTCCCCTGGGTAAATGAGTGCAGGAGACCCAAAGAGCTCTCCTACACCCTCCTGCCATCCACAGGCAACCCAACATCCCTGTTACTTTAACAACATCTCTCTAACCTATAGTAAGGTCCCTTCCAACACAAAGCGTACTAGGATTTTATGACACTAAAAAAGCCTACCCTGAGATTGTGATCTCTAAAAGTAAGGAATCTCCTAACCCAGAGCTTCATTACTTCATGATACCCTTCAGATACGCTTCCTGTTTCTTACTGCATGTAAATCCTATGTCAGGAGGGGAAATGTAAGGAGGGGGAAGTGCTGATGCTCATGTGCTTATCACAGTATTTAATGCTGTGATTTTAGTGGCCATAGCTCAGGTGAACAGGTTCGTCTATGGAGGGGGCTGCTTCCCCCCCGTTGTTTATTGTGTTCACCTTCAGGCCCTTTGGCTGGGACATGCCTGGACATGAAGTGAGTGAACCGTCAGACACTCGCTTGCAAACCGGCTCATGCGAGAGGCTTGCACAAGCTGCTGAGATGCCCACGGCCTCCTCCTGCTCCCAGCACACGCTCTGCAAACACACCGGTGGCTTGGCTGCGCTATTTCCATTGGCACTCACTAATAAGGGGTTTGTTTGCTCTGTCAAAACCAGCCTGGTAAGAGGCAGGCCCTGCCTGTGGTCAGAGGCACCTCGGGAGGTGCTGTGTGCTCTCTGACAAGGGTTCCGCATGCCCGCAAGCTCCTCAGCGCTGTCAGAGCCTGGAACTCTCTTGCAGTCGTGGCAGTGCATAAACTAAGTGAAGTTTCTGGCCGAGGCAGCCATGCATGGAGCCTCGTTGTTGGAGAGGTGAGGGACAGAGAACTCACCACGCGTGGTCTTTAGTAAGGGAGGAGAGCCACAAGCCACAGCAGGGGGTTTGGCAGCACATGAGCTCCAGATACTTAATGGGGCTCAAGTTTGCAGCCCTGAGGAGAAGGATTTGTGGGTGTTGGTCAATGAGAAGCTCCCCATGACCCGGCTTCAGTGTGTGCTTGAGCCCAGAACCCCCCCGTGTGCTGGGCTGCACCCCAGAGCGTGAGCAGCAGCTCAGGGAGGGGGTCCTGCCCCTCTGCTGTGCTCTGGGGACACCCCCCCTGCAGCCCTGATCCAGCTCTGGGGCAGCAGCACAAGAGGGACGTGGAGCTGCTGGAGTGAGGCCAGAGGAGGCCATGGAGATGCTGTGAGGGCTGGAGCAGCTCTGCTCTGGAGCCAGGCTGAGAGAGCTGGGCTGGGGCAGCCTGGAGAGGAGAAGGCTCCTGAAGGGGAGACCTTAGAGCAGCTCCAGTGCCTAAAGGGGCTGCAGGAAACCTGGAGAGGGGCTTGGGACAAGGGCCTGTAGGGACAGGCCAAGGGGAATGGCTTTGAACTGGAAGAATGTTGGAACCAGATGGTCTTTAAGGTCCGTTCCAACCCAAACCATTCTGTGACTGTGAGTTCCTCTCTGCTAGTGTAATAAATGGTGTTGCTGGAGGCATTCACGTTGTTGCAGAGCTCAGAACAGCCTCTCACCATCTCACCTGCCTGTTCCCCTTTCCCTTCCCAGAACCGACAGACATTCAACAGCCTCACCTGCCTTAGCGCCGCGGCCGAGGACGGCTCCCGCCGCATCCCAGCCCCACATCCATGGCCTGCAGCCCCCTGCTCCCCGGAGGTGATGCCGGGCAGGACCCCCGCCTGCACCCCGGTGCCACGTTCGCGGGGCGAGGAGCACCGGGCCAGCAGGGACGACCTGTCCTGTGAGGAGGAGGAGGATGCTGCAGCGTGGTGCGGTGCTGGGACCGGCACCGACAGCCTCTTCCAGCTGGATGGAGAGCTTGACATCGAGCAGATAGAGAACAACTGAGGAGGGAGCGGGTCCTCTCGCCCGGGTGTCAGCAGAGCCGGGCAGGGCTCCCTGCTGCCGACAGTGGGGCTGTGGGGTCCTGCCACTGCTCCCCTCCGGAGGGGACGAAGCAGCTTTGCCAAAACTCATCAGGTATTTAGAGCAATTTGTGTGCATGCGTGTGTAAATCTTGACATTCTCTGTAACTACTGTAGCCGGAGCTCAGCTGGGTGGGGAACTGCTTTGTCCAACTGGGAACTGCCTTGTCCAACTGGGAACACCAGGCATGGGGATGGCCAAAAGCCTGCCTTTAGTGAGTAAATGGCGTTTACCAACCCAGGGTTGGAGCTGATGGGGCTGGCCACACTCCCCTGTGCTTGTTAAAGGGATGCACAAGGAGAAACCACCACCTGTGGGACTGGAAAAATGGGGGGAAAGCAGGATATTGAGGTTTTCAAACCAAGCGCTGGCTGCAGGGGAGGCTGCGGCTCCTTCTGCACCATCCTGTGCAGCCCCAGCACCCCACGTCCCCAGCAGTGCCATAAGGAGGAAATCACAAGTGAAGAGTTTTGCTTAAATTTCATATTGGTGAGAGCTGGATTTTTACTTCTTTATCCTTATTTTCCTTTTCCTGACAAGGAATTAAAGGGACTCCTGGCCCTCGTGCGGGGCAGCATCCGCAGCCACGCTTGGTGGGCGCAACCCAAGGATGCTGAAATGCCTTTTTTCCCTATATTCCCAGTCTTCCCTATTGTTCTTCCTCCCAGCCCCCTCTCTCAGACCCATTGGTGACAAAGCCCCGATCAGGCTCGGTGCCACCCTCCCCAGCACCCAGTTTGGAGCAGGGCTGGGCCGTGCCCCCGTTCACAGCGGCTGTGCCCTCTTTGCTACCCGAGGCACGGCTGCTGCCCTGGCTTGTGGCTCTGTCCCACTGTGAAGGGGGGCACAGCACGGGCTCACTTGACAAAGTCAGCTGGCCAAAGGCTGAAACCCCAGGTAGCAGCACTGAAAGCTTTTCCTCTCCCTGTGCCTTTCCTAAGCACAGATAAAGTGACTGTTGTGTTTGTACCATATGAATTCTCTTTGGTCAATATAAGCTGTCCCCTTGCTAACAGGTTTAGAAGGACGCATAGGTTTTTGTTTCCCTCCCTCTTGCTCTGGTTTCCTGTTTGTTTGAAGCTCCAGTGAAGCTGTACGAGTGGCTTCCAACATCTCTTGCAGGTTCTCGTGTGCTCAGGATTTAGTTCCTGAGCTCTGCAAAGCGAGGAAGGAGAAAAGTCCTTGATACCAACAGGCATTGAAGATGCGATGTTAAAAGGGAGTTTAGCACCCCCTTAAAATAGGGTTCAGTGCCCTCATTTGCAGTGTTTTAGGAGCCTGTAACCCAGACAGGGCTGAGCCGCTGGTACAGGTTTTATTCCTGGTTACATTAGTGCACTTTCTTCCATGGTGGGTTGGGATGTGTAGCATCTCCCACCGCAGTGGAACCCACCAGCTCTTTGTTATCTCTGTCCTGGCACCGCAGAGGTTTTGCTCATGGCAGTGGCCACATCCACTCCCTTCAGGCAAGCAGAGACAGCCCAGAATACATGGGTATGACAGGGATGTCTTTTCATTTTGGGGAATCATAGAATCCTAGGATGGTTTGGGTTGTAAGGGACCTTAAAGCTCATCCAGTCCCAGCCCCCGCCTCTTAAAGCATCACTTAATGCAATCGTTAAAAGGAAAATACACCCTGGCATCATTTTGAGCTCTCCTGCCACCCCTCGGTTCTCAGCTTTGAGTCTTCCAAATGCTCCATCTCCCCTTCCACTGACACATCCCTGGCACCTCTTCCCAATTGACTGAAAAAGGGCAATTTCACCCCAGTCCAGGTCCGGCCGCTGCCACAGAGCTTGGGATGGGTTCTTGCATCACCGGGGCTGTAATTCCTAAGGGCTCCCATTTTCTTTCCAAGGGCTGCTACCGGTGCCATGCTAAGCCCACCAGTAGGAAGGTGAGCGATGGAGCACTCACTCCCCTGCTGCACTCACCATAGCCGTAGCATTCAGTTTACACACAGCACAACCCGTTTGCCTTACTAAAGATGCTTCTCCAAGGAGTCATGGCCTTAGACTGGGCACGTTAGCGTAGGCACAGACTACAGCCAGCCACGGTTTTGAGGCCACGGTGGTGTCCTGTTGGGTGTTCTGTTGGGTTTGTATGATTTCATGTACTTATTCTCAGTTTAAGAAAGCCTTACTTTTTAAATTTCTCTCTCTTTTTCTTTTCTCTCTCTTGTAGAGGTAAAAAAACATTTGTGGATTTATATATATATAAATATATATATAAATAAAGTAATGAAAAAGATTAAATATAATATAGTACGTGCCTCAGATTCAGGGGACATCCTGTTGATTGTAAAGTCCGATTGCTCCCTGGCACCAGGAGATCCCTGTGCCCACAGCAGCAGAGCAGAGCATCCTGCTCTTGGCTTGTAATGGACTTCACCTATTCCACAGATGCTTTTGTATTGGTACCCCCCCTCCCCGGCTGATCCCTGCCGGCTGCCAGAATGTGATATTACAGTAATATGCAGACAAGGGATGTTGTTCCTTGCTAGGTAGCTAAAACAGGCTCGTGATTGTGAAGAGACATGGTGACTTGTACAAGACGCGACCCAGTCTGGCCAGCAGCAGCTGTGCCAGCAGCAATAAGGGTTCATCACCTTTAATAGGCAATGTCATGGCCCACATTGTGTGTTTGCAGATGCAGCTCTCTGAGCTGAGATTACACAGAAATCAAAGCAAAGCAGCAAAAGAAGTACTTGTAAAATAGATTGTAATATTCCCATGCTATAGCAGAGCCTGTTTGGCTGGTGGATGAAGTTGTGTTTCAAGTGCATTGTTTAAAAGCTCCTGGCTGAACAGGCTAACCAGACTTACGTAGGATGTTGTAGGATCGTAGCAGTGCTTCACGGCGTCGGTGGGTTCGATGTTCGAGGAATGGATGGAAAAGAAGAGGATGGCCAAAAATAACCCATAGAGAAGAAGGAAGGAAGGAGTAAAGCCTTCTGAAGCTATGACCTGTAGTAGCCAAGCAGTCTCGCTGGCAATTGCACAAGCACAGCGAGATGTGCATGTCCGGGGAGGAGGTGCCGGTGTCCTCTCCCCAGTGGTGAGGAGGTTGCCCACCCGTACCCCTCCATGACTTGATTGCACTAGAGCAGCTCAATCTCAGGAAATTGCTTGTTACTTTTACTGTGTAAATAAAGCTTCCTGGTTCAATATCCCCCAGGGGTGTCTCGCCTCTCTGTGCTGTCCTGTGGCTGCAGGGAGCAGGGAGCTGGGGGTCCTGCTGCCCCTCTGGTTGGAGTTTGATGGGTGCAGGAGCCCTTCTAGTCAAGAGCGGGTCTGGCTGAACCTTCTTGGCATCTACATGGGTGCTGGGGATGCGGGTGGTGATGGTGCTCCAAAAATGGGTGTGGGTTGGGAAAGCCCCCATCGGGGAGCCTCTGTTGGAGCATGGGAGTCCCAGCCATGGGTTGCATCAGGAAACGGGCGTTTTGGGATGTTCACGTGCACGCAGATGTAATCATAGGGTGGTTTGTGTTGGAAGGGATGTTAAAGCTCATCTAAGGTCTCCCCTTCAGGAGCCTTCTCTTCTCCAGGCTGCCCCAGCCCAGCTCTCTCAGCCTGGCTCCAGAGCAGAGCTGCTCCAGCCCTCGCAGCATCTCCATGGCCTCGTCTGGCCTCGCTCCAACAGCTCCAGGTCCCTCTTGTGCTGCTGCCCCAGAGCTGGATCAGGGCTGCAGGGGGGGCTCCCTATAGCACAGCAGAGGGGCAGGATCCCCTCCCTCGACTGTTGCTCATGCTCTGGGGGTGCAGCCCATGCCCCCCCCCTCACCTGACATTGGCTGTTACGTAGCTGTAACGCAGCCAAAGAGGCAACAGCAATATCCGAGTCAATATTTAAGCACCAAGCAGCACGTTACACTTTGTGTTTAAGGACAGAGATGAAGTCCTACCCCTTAAAAGAAAACCTAAACTCATGCTTGGCAGGAGCTCCCAGCAGAGCAAAGGCACATGGAGGGTGTTAACTAAATCCTTGGGGAAACAGGGCAATCTCCCTTTGCAAATCCGAGAGGAAAACTGCTGCGTTTCCTTGAGCCAGCAAACAGCTCACAGAGTCTCATGACAGATGGCAGGATGTTTATCTGCCAGAACTGAATCAGATTGAAGCGATAGGCTGAGTATGATGGAACACAAAGGAAGAATTAGGGGATAAAGAAGAAACTCTCAGTGGTCCATCACAGCCCTAACACTGATCCGGGGTTCACAGCATCCTTCATGTGCGTGGATGCGGTTGGTATCGTCCCCTTTGGCCGAACCATTACCCAAAGGGTAAGAGGTACAAAACCAGACCTCAGACATGAACCAAAGTCATTTTCCCACATGTGGTTTGTTTTATCATGATTTAATTCCTTAGCCTGCTGTCCCAAGGGGTGCCCTGCAGCTCAGTGGTACCTCCAGTGCTCACAGGCTGCTCCAGGAATGGAAAGCATCACCCCTCCAGTGTCCTGCAGGGACCAGGGTCATCTTCAGCTGTTGGGAATGCTGGAAAATAGCTGGAATTACCACATACCTCCTCCTTGCACATGCAGGAAGCAGTAGCTAAATGCAGACAGTGGCCAGAACAAGCTGCCTGAGTATATGTATATATGTATGTATATACACTGCTGAAAAACATGTATGTAATTCCACACCTTTCCATGGTCCCATGGGAGGTCTGAAGCAGGTTAAAGCCCAGATGGTCTCATTTCATTGCACTCTAAAGCACAATGTCTTGCCCAAAACCCAGTCTCATGTCTGTCCCAATGGAGCATCACTGGCTCAATGGAGCATCATTGGCAGCCTGACCATGCTGAGCGCTCCCCTGGCAGCAGGATGGGGCTGAGCTGGGGCTGAACTGATGCCATGGGTCTCAGTAGGATCAAGCCACAGGGATGTAGACCAGGTTCAGGTAGCTACAGCCATGGGAGAGTGGTGTGTGCCCGTGTGCTTTTGGTATCTAGGAGAACAGCAGTGACTGAGAAGGAAAGAAGTGGCTGAACACTTGCACCTCGTTTTTATAGAGCAGCATTTATAGTCCTGGCAGGAATGATGGAGCCGGTGCTTTACACAGACTGGTTCCCAGCCTGGACCATAAAGGTAATGCCAGGAGCATCAGCACTGGCTGAAGCCAGGTCGCCTGTGCTGCCTCCACGGCAGGGCCAGCTGTGCCGTGCTGTGCCATGCCATGCAGTGACGCTCCCATTGGAGCACCCACTGGTGGATGAGCTGGAGCTGTGTGGGACTCAACACCAGCAGTGCCCTGGCAACAGGGCTGGGATTTAATGGGAAGAGGTAGGAAACCCACATCCCCACACATACAGCCACGGAGAGACGACCCCACGGAGGGAAGGAAAAGCCCATCAATCCCACAGCCCTCACCAGAGTACTCCAGGTAGTGAAAAGCATTTCACATTCCTCTAAACATCCCTATTAGCACCGATCCAACTGAACACGGTGACAAACAGGCCAGATCCACAGGATGGGGTTTATTCCTGACTGGTATTCCATAAGGTGTCCCAGTTTTACCAGATTCCCGTGCCCCATCCCAGGGCAGTGCCGGACAGGGGCTAATCATGGGAGAAACACAGTTAGCAGCTTGCCAAGGGATCAGGGATGTCCCCTGCCCCACAAGGGTGTTTGTGCCACCCATAGGAGAGTCACAAATGGGACCCCACAGAATGGGGCTGGACCGGTGCACCCCAACTCAGGGCTTGGTGGCCTCCATCACCCTTCAAGGACACCCCAATCCAATCCCAGGCACCTCAAAAGGCACAGCATGGGTGAGAGAAACAGCAAAAGCTGTTTGCGAATGGCTGGGACCCCATTTCCCACCCAGGCACCCCCAGGCTGGGTCCCTGGTGTGAACAAAGAGTTAAAGGGGGTTCAGGGCCCCCCAGCATCACCCTGAGGACTCCCCTTGGGCAGACAAGGCTCAGCGGCAGCCAGGGAAGAGCCTGTACTGTGGGAGAGCTGGCAGGGGCTTGGCCCCAAGGAGAGGACACTCAAGAGGTGCAGGACAGGTCTGGTGTTCCCTGATGAGCAGAGTCCATCATTTCCATCCTGTTCCATCGGATATTCAGGCATTCCCCAGCCCGGGCAAGGCTGGGGCTGGGTCTGTTGATGTCAAATGGAGGTGGGAGAGGAGGGGGTGGCCTCATAGAGGGGCTGCTGAGGGGCCTCACCCCTGCTCCCTCAGATCACCCATGGTGTCATCAGGTTTAGAGCTGCTGGAGGAGGATATCAACCGCTTCGGCCAGGTTGTTCACGTACGCATCGGGCTTCACCTGGGGGTGGTTCTCATCACAGGGCCTGCAGAGGACACAGAAGGGCACAGCTGAGCACTGACAGGTCCCAAGCGGGTCCCACGGCCCAGGTCTGTCTTCCTGCTGTGCTGCTCACAAAGGGCAATGACAAGGTTCCCCCTTCCCTCCCTACCTCCACCATGCTCATGTGTTTCCAGCACATTACAGTAGATCCCATGTCCTTGTGCAACAGAGCTGGGCAAAGCCTCATATGGAAGACAACTACATCACTAATGAGTGCCTAAAGATAACTTAGGTAATACTTAAAGGGGCTGCAGGAAACCTGGAGCGGGCCTTGGGACAAGGGCCTGTAGGGACAGGCCAAGGGGAATGGCTTGAACCTGCCCGAGGGGAGACTGAGCTGAGCTCTTAGGCAGAAGCTCTTCCCTGTGAGGGTGCTGAGGCGCTGGCACAGGGTGCCCAGAGAAGCTGTGGCTGCCCCATCCCTGGCAGTGCTCAAGGCCAGGTTGGACACAGGGGCTTGGAGCAAGCTGGTCACACAAGGAAAGCTCAATATCAGCACCCTTTGTTTCTCCTAGGGCATGTTCTACCTTGCAGAAAGTACAACCTCGAGCAGCGTGAGGGCCCAGAGGAGGCCGTGCCTGGGTGAGAAGCTCAAATACACGGACATGAAGAACGAGGCTGAGAAATGAGCAGCAAGGAACCAGCTCTGGGGAGCTCCAGTGCTGGAGCTGAAGAGAGGATCCGGTGCTCGTACAGACAAGTGCTCACCAAATTCTGCACATCATAAATAATCATAATGATCATCCCTCTGCCTCCCGTGCATCCGATGGGAAACGCATCTTCCCCACTGGGAATACGGCCTGTGCTAAATAAAGGGTTGTCCTTTACAGGGAGCAATAGGGGGGTGGACACTGGGACTCATCTGTTTCCAAAGGGAAGTCAGGAAGTGTATAAGATACAGATGTTTCCAGCAGCTGGTGGGTTCCTCAGCCCAGGAGCCATAACAGGACCAGGAGGTTTGGAAAATCCCTGCCTCCCACATCTGTCCTGCTCGTCCCCAGCAATGCTGCTGAGTCAGTGGAATGGGATGCAGCATCTGCGCCTAATTGCTTCAAGCTGCTCTGCTTTGGGGTGGTGGAGGCAGAATCTGACCCTTTCCATGGTACTGTCGCACACCATCACTGTTAAGATGTACAAGAAGGTGGTGGTCTTGCAAAGTGAAACTGATGGAGCCTTCCATTCACTGAGTACAGACCTTTCTTGGCCCTAGCTCAGAAGTGAGTTCCTCTTTACCTGTTTCTAGAGAAAATCCATAGAACAGTAATTACTTGCACAGTTTTGTAGGATCTTGCAGTAGCATGAACTGTCCTCCAGCGATCCCTGTGTGATGCTGCTATTGCCTGAATGAAGAAGTGCCATATGCAATGCAGTGCTTTCATTTGGGTTAGTTCATAGAATCCCAGACTGGTTTGGGTTGGAAGGGACCTTAAAGCTCATCCAGCTCCAACCCCTGCCACGGGCAGGGACCCCTTCCACTGGAGCAGCTTGCTCCAAGCCCCTGTGTCCAACTTGGCCCTGAACTTCCCCTGTTTAAGTTTGAACCCATCACCTCTTGTCCTATCACTGCAATCCCTGTTGGTACAAAGGATCTCTCTGTGTCACCACACAACTTCCCACTTACTCCCAACTAAAGAGCACACACCCGTGCTGCATGAAACGAGATAAAAGAGCTTGAAAGCGTTTCTCCATCAGCATATTCTTCAGGGGGTCTCCCCATGGCTGTGAAACGCGAGACAGGGTTTGACAGGATTCTCTTTAGGAGCAATGCAAACAGACACTGTAACCACTGCTAGTTCCTTTGGACTGCTGCAGTCATCTTCCTTGGTGACACGTGTGGAACTCTCTTCCTTGTAAAATGTGCAGCTTAATGTTTGGCACCGAAAGCCCAAATAAATCCCAGGGACTGACAGCACTGTTGATGGGCACTTGATGAATGGCTGCAGAGCACATTTCCTGCTGTTATGATGAGAAACAAACCTGCACCAAAGCTACTAAACACATCCAATGCTGGAGCAGGGCCCAGAATTTCAGAGAACCCCATTACCTGATGATCTTAAAGGTCTTTTCCAACCCAGTTGATTCCATGATTCTATTAGTGATATGGTTTAGTGGTGGACATGGGAGTCCTGGGATAAATGTTGGACTTGATGATCTTTAAGGTCTTTTCCAACCTGGGTGATTCTGTGATTCTGTATCTGCACCCCATTTCTTATGTCACAAACAGATGTCCCTGGAACAGGAAGAGAGGCTTTTGTGGTTGAAACACTAGATTTTGGAGGCTGCTCTGATGGAGTGTGTGACCCAGGGCTGAAGGTTTGTCCTCACAAGGCAGCTACCACATCCTTTGCTTTCCTGCTGGCTCTTGGGAAGATGCTTTTGTTTCAGACGTTGGCACCATCAACAGAAACTTCTAAGCACAAGCCGTGCAGCTGAGGATGCCTTCTATGCTGCTGCAGAATCACAGACTGGTTTGGGTTGGAAAGGACCTTAAGATCATCTCATTCTAACCCCCGTGCCATGGGCAGGGACACCTCACACTAAACCATGGCACCCAAGGCTCTGTCCAACCTGGCCTTGAACACTACCAGGGATGGAGCATTCACAACCTCTCTGGGCAACCCATTCCAGTGCCTCACCACCCTCACAGTGAAGAATTTCTTCCTTATATCCAATCTAAACTTCCCCTGTTTCAGTTTTAACCCATTACCCCTTGTCCTGTCACTACAGTCCCCGATGGGCTCCCAAGAAGCAGGCAATCTCCAGAGATGACCTTGCCATACTATCTCCTCCTGGCCAATGCCCACAAGAGCTCCAGGAAAGCAAACCCCGGTCAGAGCAAACCAGCATCCTCCACTGCTTTTCTCTTGCCTTGCAGAACTGCACACAGAGCTAACTGCGTTTAATTGCAACTCATTTAAAGTCAAGCATCTACAAACAGGTAGAAATTAACAGCCAAATTGTTTGCTAACATCTGAAGGAAGTCCATGGGCTTGCTGCTTGATCTTTCCCATTTATATTGAACTGCTACAGCTTTAACTGAGCAGAATAAACCAGCTTAGGTACAACCACTTCCCCAGGCAATACACCTCAACATGAAAGGCAACACTGAGACTGAGGGGATAGGGACTTACTTTTCTTCATGTATTACCCAAAGCTTGGCAAATACCAGCAAACATTCCCCAGATCTCTGTGTTCCTGAATTCCAATGCACTTCCTGGGGTGAATACTTGTACTTTTTGACTGTACAAGAAGGTTTAATCTGGAGTGTTGTGGTAATTTGTTTCTAGCCAGTTGGCTGCTGGTGATGCTCTAACTAATACACAGTTCCAGAAATAACTATTGAGAAGAGGATGCTGTCAGTACTGGTGCATGACAGAGTGCTTGGTGTCCCTGATGCATTTTATCTACCAGGTCCTCCACCAGGTCTTTTTAACCTGCCACTTGGCAAGATCTGGTGGAGGACATCACATCAGGGAGCCAGGAGGAGGTTGGGAATGATGATTATGGCTGCAGACGTTAAGTGGTTCAGGGAGAACGAGTGGGGCTTTGTTAAAACACAGAAGTACAAGGGGCAGAGGTGACAAGGACAGCAGAAGCTGGAGGCTGGCAGCAGCAAACCTCCATGGATTATGGAATGGTTTGGATTGGAAAGGAAATCAAGCTCATTCACTTTCAACCCCCTGCCATGGGCAGGGACACCACACACTAAACTATGTCACCCAAGACTCCATCCAGCCTGGCCTTGAACACCACCAGGGATGGAGCCCCCATCCAAGGGAGCAATTACCCCTTGAACAACCCCAATCCCTGCCATTCCTGCAAGCCATAGTGCACCACCAGGCCACTGATGGTGCTGAGGAAGCGGATGACGCAGGGAGCTGTTTTCCTCCACCCATCCCTATTTATTTTCTCTCTCAGGAAGCAGAGAACATGTGAACACGACAGATTAAGAGCTCTGGAGATCAAAAAGCCCTGGAAGTGTTTGTACGGGCTGTGGATTGGACATATATAGATTCATCCATGTATTGTTTAAGCAAGAACAAATCAGAGGAAACACTACCCTCTTGACACCCTCCCTTCAGATACTTATATGCATTGATCAGGTAATTGAAAGACCTTAAAGCTCATCCAGTTCCAACCCCTACCACAGGCAGGGACACCTTCCACTGGAGCAGCTTGCTCCAAGCCCCTGTGTCCAACCTGGCCTTGAACACTGCCAGGGATGGGGCAGCCACAGCTTCTCTGGGCACCCTGTGCCAGCGCCTCAGCACCCTCTCTGTCTCAGAGCTCATCTCCCCTCGTCCAGTTTAAAGTTAACTGAGATAAATCCTATCTCATCTCTCGCATTCCTGCAGCCTGCCAGCACCTGGTGGAAACAAACTGGATATGCCAGGAGTGTTTAAATGGCCCCCAGGTTGGATAGGGATGGACTGGGGGATCAGAAGCTCTGCACAGCATATATGGATGCACCCACCTAGTGCTGCAATGCAAGTACAGTACAGCTGGTTTCAATAAAAGCAAATCTCCCTCTCCCCCTTAAAGGCACATTCTCTCTTTGCAGAGCAAACCTGAGAGCTGGCTCTGCTTTGCCAAACTCTCCTGTCTAACAGGGTGTTTGCAAGCACCGTGAGACTCAGCTCGGCCTGCTTGGATTAATTATTGATGACCTGCATGGCTTTGCCAAATGACCTTACTCAATTCAGTAGAAAACCATTTTAAATGCCCCTGAGAAAGAATTTGGACATCAATATTTCCTTTGTGCATATATCTGAACAGATGTGCATCTTAAATGCAACTAATGCATTAGCTATTAAGGGGACTTAATAGTATAAGAGTAGGAAAGATTAATTTTAAGGGCTGAATTGGAAGCTTAGTGGTGCTCAGGCACCTTACTCTGTTTGGCACTTTAAAGACCTTCACCTAAGAGAATATTTCATTGCTTGCTTTTAATACATTGCTTACAAAATCCATATGAAAGGTGTA